GGGCGGGGGGTGGGGGGTGGGGGGGTCGCTTTGCATGAACCCCGCACACAAAAGCCCGTCTATGCTGCGGCAAAAGAGCTTCCAACGGTATTGAAGCTTTGCACAAATGACATGTCCAACCGCTCGGCGACAAAAACGATCCGAGCGGCCGTGCTGCGGCTCGATGTAATCATAAACAAGATCTGCGCGTTGAAAGCAACGCCAAGAGGGAAAAAAAGAGGGACAAAAGAGGGAGAAGAATTCACAAGTGCTTGGTAATTATTTCCGTCTGCCCCGTCTACTTAACCTTAACAATTCCTGCGTGTCGCCCAGAAGACAAAAACATGTTCTCTTCACCCGTAGGGAGCGCAGCGCACGGCTGATGACACAAGAACACCCAAGACGGTGTGAAAGTGCAACTAAATTAAGGCGCCGATGTTGTTGTTTTTTTTTTTTTTTTTTTTTTTGAAGCAAGTAGGAAGTTACTGAAGAAAACCAAACATGCTTGGAAATGTTGCTGTGGGGCGGATTTAATTAGCAATACCAGAAGGATACCAGAAGGATCCAAGAGGAAAAAAATAAAAAAATGACTTGATTGTCAGCATTCACATCGGCTAGTTTTAGGAGCCACTTTCCAGCATTTGCGTAAATGCTTGTCTCACTTGTGATAAGAAAGAAAAATGATTTCTGTGAAGGATCTGTTCTCGGGAATCTCACTGCACGATTTTCCAAAAAAAACAAAAGACCAGCAGCGCTGAAGAAAAACGACGTCAGTAACAAAAATTTCCCGGCACACACAAGAGCATTCGCGGAAATGTAACATTTCTTCGCGGGCAACGACATTTGCACGGAAGCTCAATTTTCAAATGAGGGCATTCAGCGTGCGTTCTCGTCTCTTCGCATTGGCACAATAAGACGTTAAAAACTTGAACTGAGCGTTTCATTCTTTGCATTCACATTTTTTTCAAGGGGGTGAAACATTTCTGTCTCCAGTTCAATGGACATTGTGCTGCTCTTTTTGATGTGTGTGCCATGGCCACTTGGGGGCAGCATAACACAGACTCACGAGCAGACACGGAGACGGTCAAAACTCCCCAGGAAGCTGCAGTCATGCGCGTGGCTCTTCATTGACGAGGATGGTTATTTAATCCAGTGGTCCCCACCATCAATCTGCAGCCCGGCCAATTGGTACCAAGCCGCACAGACTGATGGGGGGGGCACATGTCATCATGAGTGTGAATGTTTGATTCTCTGCATTGGCACCAGAAAAATGATCAGACACAGACGAGTATGAATGCCTTTTTCTTGACGGCCACACCGGCAGAACGACACGTCATGAACAGCGGCATTAGCGCCAACACTTGATACACCGATTTCACCATCCGGACGTAAAGCGAAGCGGTACGGTGAGCGATTTCATCCGGATGGAGACGGTGCTTGAATCACATCTCACTCCAAAAAAGAAGGTCCTTGATGGAAGGGCGGTAGGATGTGTCAAAACAAAGGCACTGGAAACACTCGGAGCTCATTATGGGTCCCACTGTAAGCACAAGTAGCAGTCTAGACTCGGGACCATGCCTCGCACGCATGAGACCGAGCACTCACGAGGTTGTCGACCTCGGCAGACTGCGGGCCACAATACCGGGATTCACAAAGGGAACGATTGTGGCTGGAATGCGCTGTGTTCCCAGGAGGACTAGGCGGCAGCCTTTACAAAAAAGGGGAAAAACACGCACGGTGGGCACTTTTTTTTTTTTTTTCCTTCTGCCACGTACAGGAAGCAAAATGAGAACTATCAAGTTTGACACTATTCACAGGGCCTTCACGGGGCCCGACAATACCTGGCCGGGCAGACAGAATGCGGAGCTTAAGAGCGGAGGGGGGGAGGCGCCGGCGCTCAAGTCTCCGTCACGTGAAAGCGTGTCGGTATTTGTGACACCTCCGGGCTGCGTGCCAAATAAAGAGCATGGGGGGGTTGTCGCGGTGGGGCCGACGGGGACCGCCACAATGCTGAAAGCCGGTACACCCCCCCACCCCAAAATGCTGAAAGGAGGGACCTGCTGGGGGCCGGTGGCATCGACGCCGCGCAATTTGGGCTGCGTAGGTATTTGTATTGGCGCTTTGACAATGTGTTTTCGAACTCCAGGTTGAAGCAAAAATAATCAACAAGCCCCACCCATGCTCCAAGCATCCATGAAATCAAAGATGTTTGGCCCTATTTCGGCATTTCAAAGTCAAGACTGACTTCCTGTCCACTGGAGCATTTTGTTATTTTGCACTTGGATGACCTCCACCTCCTTTAATCCTGATTGGTTACGTTCAATCTGCCATTAATGACCATGAATGTCCGACTTTAGAGTCGTTTCCAAAAAAAACCTATCAAAGGCCACAGCGAAGGAAGCTTACCGAAAGCACGGACGGGGCTGTGTATGTGTGACGGACACAAACTGTCTTCCGTGCCAACGCGGTGTCCATTTTGTTTGAATGATTTACACAAAATTGTTCACGTTTCCTGCCGTGCGTTTCCCACACTTTGGACGGTGGAAATTCAAACCCACTTTTGCCTCCTCGGTGATATCTGCTCTCGACATTCTTGCTGATTTCATTTGCAGATCTACTTTTAAAAAAAATAATAATAAGTAGGGGACATTTTCAGGATTTTTGTGGCTAAACGTAAATGGAAAGAAAAGTGCCTCAAAAATATTTCTGATGAACGACATCCAAGAAAACGCGCTCGGCAATTCATCTGAGATCGCGGGCGGCCAAGTTGGATGACGGCAGAAAACGCGTGGGGGTGGGGTGGGGTGGGGGGGTGGATAAGGCCTAGCAGCTAATACCGAAAGACCTCACGGAGTTTTTTGGCGGAACATCGCCAAGAGCTGGGAGCGGCGCGTCCTCTGCGCCGTTACTGTTCGTTCGCTTAGCCCCGCTTTCCTCGGGGCGAACACTTGATACTCCCCTCGCGGCTATTGAAGAGAAGAGGATTATTTTAGTCCTAAAACAAACCATAAAAAGAAAACTCACATCTGTTTGTGTTGCTCCTTGACGGCTCAATTATTGGAAAATCATCTGCGTGCAACCGAGCCAGGAGGTGGATGTGCACAAACTTAGTGTAGTCGACTTCGGATCAGAGAGCAAGCGTGTGCGAATGCGTTTTGCTTTTTCTTCTGCGCTTGGAA